AAAGATCAGCAACAGGGATCTCTGGGAGCGAACCAACCGGGAACCGATTGTGCAACAAATAAGTAGGAAGAAATGGAGGTGGATTGGCCATACTCTTAGGAAACCATCAAGTGACATCACTAGACAAGCCATTGCTCGAGTGGAACCCGAAAGGGAAGCGGCGAGTTGGTCGTCAGTGCAAGGGTGACTTGGAGGAGGTCCTGTGAAGAGGAAATGAAAGCATGTGGGCAGACGTGGAGCCACGTGAAAACTTTAGCAAAGAGCTGAACGCAATGGAGACGTGCAGCTGAAGCCCTATGTTCCTCTAGGAATTAAAGGAAATAATAATAATAAGGCTTCAGATATTCTCAAAACTTTTCTCCCTAAATCGGTCAGTAAGACGTTTATTACTGTAAAACTACAGATGACGTTCACCAGCTGTAAGTTTCTCTCTATCTCTGTAAAAGATAAGCTTCTCCGTCTGGCTGCCTCCATGTGAATCTGTCAGCTCACCTGCTCTTGTGGAGCAAGGTATGTTGGCCGTAGCCAGAGGACGCTTTCCACACGGATACGAGAACATATTCCGGTATGGTTTTACAAGGGAGAAAGGATGTGTGTGAGAAGCTCTATTCTAGAACACCTGATCGACTCCTGTCACTCTGCCAACCCTGACCATGATTTTAAGATCATCATCTACCGAATCCATGCTAACTTGTTGGCAGCGTTTTCTTCGTTACAGACTTCTAAAGACAGCGGAGGCTTTGGCAATTCATGACTTCAAGCCAGACCTTTGTGTACAAAAGAAGTATGTACAATTCCTACTTCTGCCTTGGCCGTAGAGGGATAGACATTTATTTATTTTGTTTATTTAGTTAGTCTATGTACCTTTCCCTCATTACTACGATTATTATTATTATTGTTACTATCACCATTCTCACTCTAAATTGCTTCCACTTGTCCCACTTGTCATCCTAAATCCAAAAAAATGTTTTTACAATATTGGATTCTGTCTCATCAAATTTCACACCATGTTATGTAACATTTTATATTATCCTACTAATCCCATAATTATGCACCCCTTTCCAACATCTATATATCTTATGAATTATTCTGTATATGACACTAATTGTTTTGCCACTTTACACTTCACATTTAACTATGATTATAATCACAAATATTTTAATTGCATTTCATATAACTCCTATAATTATTTTATGCATTCACACCTTTCATGCAATTCCCTCACCGGATATAATTTCTTGAAAACCATATATATATATATATATATGTATATATATATATATATACCAGATCAATTGTAGGGATTGTAACGCCGCATATGTAGTAGAAACTTCCAGACAGATAAATATAAGACTGAAAGAGCATAAACAATGTATAAAGGCAGTTCCAAAGACCTCTGCAGACTTGAAGAAGCTAGAAAACAACTCAGCGATTGCACTGCATTCGATAGAAACGGGACACAAAATCGACTTTGATAAGACTAAGGTTCTACAGAAGGGTTTTGGTTCATATAAAGAAAGACTAACTGCAGAAGCCCTGCATCTATTTTTTTATTTTTTATTATTTTTGATTACAGCTTGATGCAACATCGTATTTTCAGTACAAGTATGGGATTTTCAGCATGGATATCGGTAACCCAAATTTTGCAGGCCGACCATAGATATCGGGTGTGCGTCGGCAGGGGATTGAACCCCGGACCATGTGCATGGTTGGCGAGAGTCCTAACCACTGTGCCACCGACGCACATATATGGGTGAATCCCAATAGTTTGAACAGACGTGAAGGTGTGATGTTGGCTGATGCATGGCAAATCCTGACTAACAAATAAAATTGGATATGTATCAACAATAGTCATACTTGGTTAAAATTCCCCGATTCTGTAACAAATGTTCTATGACTGTTCATCCACACACACACCATTGTATACTGCATTTACACATATATTTTTTAACAAAAGTAGACTAATTTGGAAAGTCTGAGGTCAAATTTTGATCACAGTTCACACAATTTTTGTTTATTATACCTGTTGATACCTGTTTCATGATTCATATGACAGAACAAACAATTAAAAACAAGAGATGTTCCTTTTATATATAAACATACAATTTTGTTCATTATATATGTTGATGCCTGTGTTTATGACTCATGATTGGACAAAGTTTCAAAAACAAGAGATGTTCCTTTTATCTATAAAAACCTCTGTTATGTTAATTACGATCAATTTCCCTGAAGAAGTTCGAACCAGATTGCCAAACGAAACGTTGGAATTAATCATTTCATTTTCGCTGAGATTTTACAAATATAATTTTTGCCAAATGTCTAGATAATAAAGGCTTCCGAAAATACCTGAGTAATACAACTTATCTGCTTGAATTCATGTTTAATTGTTTACTTCTCTGTGTATGTTATGTGAATTAAACACCTCATTCATTATTAATCTGTAATTAAAATACTCCATTGCACTGATAAGGGATTCTTTAGAGTAATACCTATAGATATTCAAACTATAAAGGCTTGAAGGGAATATAGCCAATAAATTTGACCTACTGAACGTCTCTGGCTAACTGACTGACTGACTCACTGGTTTCAGAGTAGGCCTTTGCATAGAATTGCAGCAGTCCAACTTGCCACACTTCCTCCATGTAGCACACAAAGCAAGAGATCCCCGGATCTGCAACCAGCCAAGAAGTCTACACCTCCCTACGTGGCTGGCTGGCTGGCTAGCTGGCTTAAACTAACTGTTGTGGATTTCATTGACTGGTGCCAAGTTGTCGTTTGACCACCACTTTCCAGCTTTTTTCCAACCTGATCGATCCTATGTAAGCTGACACTGTCCGTCGAAGAAGCAAAAGCACACTGAACATATCTAGACATTTCTGGTGAAAGAATCTGAAAAATTGGAAATATCAACCATATCAACCAGGAACCGATTGTGAATCAAATAGGCAGGAAGAAATGGAGATGGATTGGCCATACTCTGAGGAAACCATCAAGTGACATCACTACACAAGCCATTTCTCGAGTGGAACCCGAAAGGGAAGCGGCGAGTTGGTCATCAGTGCAAGGGTGACTTGGAGGAGGTCATGTGAAGAGGAGATGAAAACGTGTGGGCAGACTTGGAGCCAGGTGAAGACTGTAGCAGAGAACAGAACGCAATGGAGACGCACGGCTGAAGCCCTATGTTCCTGTAGGAATTAAAGGATATGATAATAATAATAATAATACTATGCGATAGACGAAACATTGATTACACTAATATTTCTACAGACACTACTTCACAACTGGGATAATGACTATTAAAGATGATATAAGTTTTTAATACTGAAAGCTATCTGATACCATACACAGATATTATCGCTTAACAGTTTGTATAAGAACGATAAAGTCACACAGTGTTGTTATACAGTAATATTTACTGATAGCCACGTTTTGAGCACAAATTATTGGCACTGATAATCATATCAAGGTACATAACTTCCTTGCCTCGTTTCTTTACATGAGTAAAAGTGTCTAACAAACCGAGCAATAGCACTAAATAGTACGACAAAAAACCTAATCGATGAAATGAAACAGATAGAAGAATAGCTGGTTGGTGTTGAATAACTATCCTATAAAATTCATTAGAAAGATCAAAAAGGTCAAAAGCAAAATAAAAATAATGGTGAAACTAATAATGATAACATAAATAAGAAAGAATATGAGGCATCTACAGTTTTACCATATAAGGAGGGAACATCTGAGTCCCTCCCTACGTAGGATTCTCAATAAAGCAGGAATTAGGGTGGCATTCAAACCTAAAAACTCAGTCAGGTAGGTCGGGGTCTATAGATTAAAGGACCCTGTAGGTTGACCGAATCAAACAAAATAATATAATTTACAAAATATTTTGCAATGACTGTGAATTAAGTCAACTACACAGGTCAGTCAGACTAATAGATCAGGTCAGGGGTAGTCAGATTATCAGAACATACGAATTTAGCTAAGGGTAGAATGATTGATCCCACACGCGAAGATGAGTAATTTGGAAGAAAACTCAGCAATTACACTGCATGCATTAACGCACAACTACACAATAGGATGGCAGAGGATCAAAGTTCTTAGAAGTAATATAGGTCGATAGAGAGAGAGATTGATTACTGAATCCTGCCTGGTTCATCGAGTCCACACCCAACACATGCAACAGAAATGACTCAATGCAAATACCAGATACATGGAAGACATTATTACCACCAGTCAAATCAGAGCAGGATAATAATCTTAAAATGTACTGAATTCAATTCACATTATACCATTCTAACAAGTTACTTATTTTTACTGTAAAAACATCTTATTTCCCATCTTACTGTATTTTATTGATAACAATAATATTATTATTTCCGAGTGTACTTTATCTTATATTGATTTTATTCAAAAGCCTCATCAATTTTACTGATGCATTTAAACGAAACAAGGAAGTTGTGTGAGTGAGTGCCTTAATATGATTATGAGTGGCAATAAATTGTGCTCAAAATGTGATCATCAGTAAATATTACTGTATAACAAGCACACTGTGTGACTTTATCAAAATAAAACTGTATCCATAATGGAATTATACTCTACCACCACAGTGCCCAAGTTTTATCCTTACATAAGAACGAATTAATATATATTGTGTAAAATATTCTGTATTTATTGTATTTCACAAAATTTTACATTCTAATCAACATTTTTCATTTTAGAAGACAATTAATGAATTAATGAATTAATAAATTAAATAATTAATGATTGTTGTAAGCGCTTTCATTTAATTGAAAAAAATTGCTGCATTAATCGTAATTAAATACCTTTGAAAGTATTTAAATTAAACAAACCGCCTCAATGATCAAGATACCATGGTAACAAAAACATGCGATACATTTTAAAATAATATAAAGAAGAATCTGTAATAATTTTTTAAAAAAAAGGAAGATGAATTGAAAATTGAATATCCTTTTTCAGTGTTTATTCATGAAACAAAATTTTTAACCATAAAACTTCTTTTTTATAAATTCAATCAGTTTAGGTAATTGTTTACAATCCTGAGTACTAGTTGACTCATCAGGTACAAGTTTATGAACAATCGCTTTTTCACTATCAGACCATTTTTTGTCAGCTGCTACCTCAAGAATTGGTAATATTTCATTGTTAGGTATAAATTCCACAGGTGTATTCAATGCCTGAATATTGATTTTAGCCTCACCTGGAGAAATATCGGCAGATTTCTTAAAAAGGAGAACTAGATTTTGATGAGTTTTAATTAATTCACAAGGGCATTGATTTGAATCAGGTATTTGTAAAGTTGTATTCCAAGTTACTGTGATATTCGACTGTATGATATGAGTTATTGTAGCATTGATACAGTTATCTTGTACTTCATGAACTTTTAAGAAATATATCCCGCTGGATTGTCTGCATACAGAGTTAAATACGTCATTTAGAAGTGATTTCACATCAGTAACTTTGTCTATACATACAGGACATGGAGTTTTCACTGTGGGTAGTAGATCTTCCGAGGGAATATCAGTTATCATTGTTGGTTCACTTGATGTAACTGATGGTGTTTCAGTTGTAGGCGGCATTTCATTCACAGGCCATGCTTCTTTACACTCATCTAATCGATAAGTGACAGTAATACTTTCTTCTGGTGAATAATATTCATAAGCTGTTATTGTTGCATTCTTGGCATTTTCTACATAATAAGCTTGATTTATAGGTACATCAACACATCGTTTCAACTGTTCCCAATCGCCTAATTCATTAGCTTCATCTTCAGAAAATTCATTGAAATACAATGAAATTTCATTTTGTTCATTGATGGTCAACATTTTTAAAGAATCATCCTCAGCGCCTAACTGGGAATTCAGCTGTTCAACATTTGGTTCCCATCCAGTAACCATAGCAACACGTATCAATAACATTCCTGTACTTATTGGTTTTTCATTTTTTCTAGAATTTAACTGTAAACACATAACCAGTTTAGCTGATTTACAGCTTTTGTCATCGCCTGGTGATGTTTTTTGTATGATATCGTAGGATAGTTTAAATTTCGTTTTAACATCTTCTCATTCGGGTAAATTATAAATGAAGGTATTCTGTACTAGCATGCAGTCTTTAGTAGATTGATTACTGGCTAATTTCCAAACAGAATGTATCACTTTATCATCGTTATCAGCATCAACATCAGCATCTTTGAATTCAAGACTTGGCAGTTCAATCTGATTGATAACTTGTCGTTTTTCTAAAGTTATTGAATCATTCAATTTAAAATTGTCAATATTTACATGATTTGATATTTGAAGAACACCATAGGATGTATTTGTCGCTTGACTATTATTGTATTATTATTATTCTCATTATTGTAGATGCCTAATTTTTTAGCGAATTCCGCTATAGCTTCAAGTCCAAGTACTGTATCTTGTGTAGAGTAAAAACCACCGTTTGACTTTTGTTTCGAACTTATCCAACGTATAATTGGGAACAATTCATTCACTGTCTGATTCATTCGATTTAAACTAAGAAAAGCATAAGCTGTTGACTCTAAATCACGTGGTTCAATGTTGTCAATATTATTATTATCAATAAGTGTATCCTGTGTTGTTGAATTACCAGCTGATGTATTCGTCTCAACTTTATCAAATTTATCTGACCAGTAAATCTTTTCACCGAATTGATCCTGAATAACTTGTTTCCTTTTGATGACAACATTTTGTAAATCAATAGTTAGTGGAGAATTCGGTTGAATTAGTGTATACGTATGCGTGATTTGTACAAGCGCTGAAGTCGGCAATTCATCATACGAGTCAAGATTTACAAGATATTGACTTAAACATTTCAATCCACTATTGTAGGCATCTTCTGCTTTACTAGTATACTTAATATTCGAATTATTATCAGCATTATTTGGTCGTGTTTCAAACAGTGCTGAACTAACATAACTAGTAAGTAGAATATCCTTCAGTTGATGGGATTCATCTATGCCACTTATACCTTGTAGCGGGGAATACAGAACTTTTCCATGCTCTTCAAAACATCCACTTTCATTATTTTGACGGGTAATTAAGAAATGTATACCCCCGGTGAATAGATTCTCCCACTGAACATTTAAAGTTGGCTCAAGTTTATAGGCTTTAGCAAATACACGGACTACAAATGCTGTCAACCATGTACTGCCTTCTTTGTCCGATTTACCGAAAGCAGAAAATGATCCATCGTCTCGTCTATATTTCAACTGTTGGATATAACCTGATATTATGTGTGATTTAGCTGTTTGCATATAATTCTCTTTATTCTCATTGGAGTTGATATTTGGTGTAGATTTCAAATAGTCTAATATGTAGACATTAGGTGCTACCAGTACCATATTCTGTTCTCCACAACCAGTAGGTAGGCGTACAAGTTTGTCTAAGTTCACCAGAGCAGGTCCTAATACTTCATCACTATAGGATATATAACTGTGTAGAGAGTTCTTAATTATATTTTTAGGTAACACGAATTCAAACTCGCGCTCCGATTGAGTTTCTTGTTCATTCAAACAAATAATATCACTGATAGTTGTTTCATGTTGAACACCTTCAGGTATCACGTTGACATGGCGACGAATTTTATCAGTTAGTAATTTTGATTGAAATCCTTGCTGCTTTGAGATATTCAACTGGAGTTCACTATGTTCTATAGATTGACAGGACTGACTATTCTTAACGGCCAAGGCTTCAGCAGTAATATTCAGTTTACCTAAGCGTTTCGCCTGTAATCCGACAAGATAAGTTGCCTTATCACCAGAACACAAACAACCAGAGTGTTTAGTTGTACCGACAACTAACCAGTCATCAGTGTTGTTTACTTGTACATCAACTAAAACTTCATAACATTCTGATAAGTTGGAATTTTCTGGTTTTTGTAAATACTTTCTATCCAAAATAAACACACTTACAGGGATATGCAAAATTTCACCACGTTTCATTTCTTTGGGTGGCGTTATTTCCAAATAAAAAGGCATATTGACAGTGACTGTTTGTGGTTCACCAAACCATAGGCCATTCAACTTTGTTGTACAATACGCTGATGCCCTCCAACTTGTTATAGTATCTGGTACTGTGAGGTTTAATTTTATGCCCCTTGACTCATTCATGTCAGTGGTATCTGTCTTGTTAGCCTTTTCGTCAACTTCATGGCTGATTTGTAGATCAGTGATTGGTAACACTTGAAATAGCCATACCTCAGGAAAGAAGTCTCGTAGCCGTGGTTTTACTGGTACATAGGTGTTTCTCATCAATGGAAGTGGTTGTGGACGTTGTGCACTGGCTGGAACAGCATTGTTATTATTATTATCAACTCCACTATCGTCAAGGACAACTGAGACACCTGAATATGAAAATTGGGGACAGGCGTATAACTGATGCACAAACATTGGTTGTGGATACGTTGAACCAATCTGAAAACCAGCAGCTTGAAATGCTTCTTGTGTTGAAGCAGCTATAGACGGTCGAAATTCACTATGCATAGCATAATCAATTAATTTTTCAGTGAAAGATTTTAAATTAATCAAATTTTTATCCCCTTGGAAGTTATCCAGTGATGTATCAGAGATCCTGATGAAGCACAATTCATTTGACAATTGACCTTTATTTTTACATAGTTTTGTTGACATATTATAACAGTTGCTTTCTTGATCTATCAACGACGATGTTGGTGGTGGTGATAGCACACCTTGAGGAGTAATGGTCATTTCAATTTTCTGGCCAGGATCTGCAACATTTTGACTAAATTCTATACTACTTTTATGTGATTTCGATTGAAGTGCAATTGCATTACTTGTACAATTTTCAATTTGTTCCACAGTTAATTGAGTTGAAATAATCTCAGGTGACGTGTTATCTTGTTGATGATGAATATAAATTATAGCTGTAAATCTTGGTCCCCATGATCCATTAATTGTAAACTCTATGTGTCGTTGATAAAGTGTTCTAACTGGTTTCGTATTGATTTCTGGTGAAGTTGTTGATGAAGTGGTAGAAATGAAAGAACTATCCAATTGATCAGTTGATTTCACTTCCTTGACACTTTCTGTAGTAATTGTTTCATTAGCTTCTTCTGAAATTTCTTCGTAAATTACAGTTTTACGATCACAACTATAACCAGTCCATCCATCATCACAGACACAATCATTTCCTTGAATACATTTGCCGTGTAAACAATTTGCACGCTTAACACATTGATCACAATTCACTCCACTCCATCCTGATTTACACTGACAATCATCAGGTCTGATACACAGGCCACCATTAGGATTACATTCTGAAGAACAAATAGGCACCAAGCAATTTTCACCTTGCCAGCCTGGTAAACATTTAATCTCCTCTGGATTTACACCTGTACACTGATAATGTCCTAACTCATCGTCACGATCAGCACAATCATCAGTGATGTTGTTGTCGGCCAGCATTTTATCACTTGCTGGTATCACAATCTTCATGTGTTCACCCCGTACCATTGATTCTATAAAAATAATTTTATCTGATAGAGGTATATTGGATAACAGAAGTAATTTGACTGTATTAGGGCATGTGGTAACAATTTTATCTTGAGGTGGCCATAATTGTAGGTAAACTTTACTAACTGAATCCCATGATCTTAATGTTACACTATCAGTAACTGGATTGTCATTTGGTGACCAAGGTTTATCAGGCCAGAAATAGAAGTTACTCGATTGTGCTGGGATACTTTCACTTGCATCTTTGGAGGTCGACTCAACTGCGGGTAATGATGCTGATGATGGTGGTAATGGCACTCCAGAGGGTAACAACAACTCAGCTTCAATTAATATTGAATTTTCAGAGTGAAGTGGTGGTATATGAATGACACCGTCTTTTAATTCACTGACTGGGATAGTATTTATGTAATATTCTGTGCCTTTAGAGCTACCTTTCCAATAACAGCCCCATTTCTGCTCAGAGACAGATATCTTGACACTATAGTTTATACTCTTTTCATAATTTGTTAATTTCACCCTCCCAGTGATTGGCAATTTCGATTTATAAACACTCGGGAATTCCAACTTCAAATTTGCTTGTTCACTTTTGATTTCATCCCCCTTTAAACAGTTGTATAGCTTTGAACCAGTACCGTCTTCTTCAACATGAGCGCATAAAATACTTATTTGATTCCATTTAGAATATTTATCTGTAGATAAGGCGAATTCTTTAGTGGATACATTGAAATTTGCACAACCATCAGCTTGTAATTGTTGATTATGTATAATACATGGTCGAAGGTTTACTTCATAACCATTCGATGGACATTTACGTGTTAATACTAGGGATTGAACAGTTTTTTCATCATTCCCCATAGAATATTCACTATCCCAGGCATATTCAGAACAAGCACAAAGAATTGATTTTACAGAACCTTTCAATGCTGGTCCATTTGTATACTTTGCACAAATTGAATATTGGACGTATTCAGTATGAGGTGTAAAGAGTTTTGGAGTTTCTAATTCTACAGTAAACTTTGGTAGAGTATATTGCTTCACTGTGAATTCAAGTATTTCTTCTTTTACATGACGTCCAATAACACCGTGTACTTTCCATTTACCTTCAACAGCTTTATTCAGCAGGGGGTAGGTTAAATTTAAAGCTTTTTTAGGCGAAACATTTAACCATTGTTTAACACGATTATCCATAGGATCAGTGATATAGATTTCTTTATACATTATATTTTCTAATTTAGATAAATCATAACGATTAACATCTTTTAACTGGAATTGAGCTTTTTTCTTGACTATAAGCTTTTTCTTAGGCAATGAAGCAGCAATAACTGATTTCGGGGATAAAGTATTCACATTTAGCGCTAAATATCGAAAATTAACAGACTCACCAGGTCTATACAATGGCTTGTCAGTTTCACCAATAATAATAATTGGTGATTGCTTCAATTGGACGGACTCTATCACTTGAGTCACTTTGTATTGGGCACACTGGTCAACATTCTTAGAATTTTCATCATCATCATCACCATCATTATCATCGCCATTTTTGTCGTCGCTATCATCCTCGTCATTGTCTTTGTCATTGTCATTGTCATCAATATCCTCAGCCCGTTCACTGCCATCACTGTTATAACAATGCGTAAAATTAAATATCATTTTAACCCAAATCGATTCTTCATGATCAAAAATGAAAGGAATTTCATAGGGGATATCTAAACCATACCAATTTCGAGATATATTCAATCGAAGCAACTTGTAGACATTCTGGTCTTTGATTGTTTCTGACAATCCAGTTAAATTCATTGAAATAGTAAGTCTGGTTTTCGGTTGACGACTTCGTACAGTAATTAAATTTCTTTGACCTAAGTACAATTCACTCGGTAGGATAACATAAGTCACATTGACTGAAGTGTTATGAATTTTTGGGAGTAGAGTCACTACATTTTCAGAATCCTCTGTGGTTGTAGTTGCAGTTGTAGTCGTGGTTGCAGTTGACGCACTGTCATCATCTACCTCACTGACTGACGTTGTCTTAAAGGCATCTGTAGAAGGTGTTGTGAAGTATGTTTCAGTGTTTTCTGCGTTACATTGTGCAAGTATTATTAAAGTGTATAACAGTAATAATGATGGTAACATCATCTTGCGAAAGTGATAGATTAGGTCACCCAGCATAGTGATATGAAAAGTTCTGGTATATACATGCATATATATATATATATATATATATATTCAGTGTATGTGTATAAATGTCTATGTGGGTGTGTTGTGCGCACGCACGGTGATCTTATTCAATCATATTGATGGAGAATAAGACGACGCTGTTACATTATTCCGTAAACTTTTGTCATTCATATATGTATCTATTATGTTATATTATTATTATTATTATTATTATTATTATTATTATTATTATTATTATTATTATTATTATCTATTTTGATACTGTCTGACCTAATTTCACGAGCATCCATTATAATTCTAATACTATTACTAATACTAATACTAATGTTATTATTACTGATGTGACCATTATTATAAATATTGACACTAAAACTACTTTTTATTAATAATAATAATAATACTGATGACTTCCTAAAATGTCATGAGAACTAAACTGCATTGTTTATCTGCATGCATGTTTGTGCGTGTGTGTGAGTGTGTGCGAATACATGCATAGCGTGTTCAATATTCAACTATACAAAATTTATTAAATGTTCAAAAGTGATTTTTTTAATTTGAAAAATTATACTTGATAGTTAGTAATAATTTATATTTAACTAAAATTTGACAGTTCTGAATGATTGTATTGGAAACATAAATAAAATTATTATTATTATAAATTGTCAAAATGCAAGACGTGAGATTAGTTTAAGCGATTGACTTAAACGAATCACGTTTGTGTTAACTTTTGAAGGCCAGAGGGTGATCTCTATTCGTAACGATTTTTCTGATAATCGTTTGGTCGTCGATTTGTTGGTCGTCTACGTGTATCTTCCACGTATGTCATAGTGTGACTGATGGTTTTTGACTAAGTTTGAAAGTTTTCAAGCTCTGTGGTTTTACATGTCTGAATGTAACAGAAGTGGACTATCTGACTGGTTGATTGGATTCAATGTAGAACTTTGCATAGATGTACAACAGTTCGAGATGCCATATTCTCTCCTTATAGAACACAAAGCAAGAGAAGAGGGTAAAGAGAGATAATAAACAGAAATATGAGTGAGGCGAAAAGAATAGTAATATGGTGGGAGAACAATAGAATTTTATTGGATATTATAAATCACAAGGAGTGGATGTATTTGTGCCAGCCATTGAGAACGATTTTGAGCTAGCCATATAACCGACTGTTTCCAGCCTTCATTGGTTTTTACTACTGACCTGTGGACCCCAACCAGCCAAGCAGTCTACACCTTCCTACGTGACTGGCTGGTTGGCTGAATTTCATTGACTGGTGCCAAGTTTTCGTTTGACTGCCATTAGATCTTTTCTAATGTCAGCTGACAGTGCCTGTAGGGGAAGTGAGATTGATGGCTAGCAGTACATGCCTAACACATGTCCTAACCATCTCAATCGATGTAACTTCAATAACTTCGTCTATTGATTTCCCCTCCCTCCTGACCTAGCACTAGACCGAAGCCTAAACTCAATATTGCCCACCTTATTATACCGCTTAACACGGGAGATAGAACGCAGACACCTATGATCAACGACAGCTAGCCTTCTCTTCCATGTCTTCCACTCTCAACGGCCATGTCTCACAGCCATAAAAGAGGACAGAGCGAACTGCTGGACATTGCACACGCCCTTTGGTGGAAACCCAGAAGGATATCACGTCTACACTAGAGATGTTGTAAATTGGCAGGCAAATGCCAAACGAGCCTTCTGTACCCGTGCTGAGATTTCGTCAGCGATAAACCCTCTAGGGTTAGTAGATACAACTTCCCAAATAAGTGAAGTGGTCAACACACTCCACCAACCACTTCACTCCCTATTTCTAAGCTTGGAGTCAATGTATCCCAGTCCTGTAGCCTGATAATCTCACATTTGGCGGGAGCGAATTCCATGTCGAATATTCACAGATTGCAGCTCAAGGTGTTCAGAAGACTCTGCATTTTGTCAGCGTCCTCACCTAGAAGCAGGACTATATCATCTGCATATTCTAAGTCAACGAGAATATTCCATGGTAACAAGTTAATCTCCGAGTCACTTAAGTCAGTTAGGGTTAATTCCATTGGTACATCATTGATGAAATTGAATAGAAATCGGGACAGCGGGCATCCCTGATGGACACCACTAGTTATCACCACTTCAGATGACAACTCGCCGTAAGCTCTCACCTGGCTGACTTCATGAGTTCGAGTAGAGTAACTTGATCGGTGCAGTGTATTTTCTCGGCATTCCCTTGACAGCTAAACATCGCCATAGTACCTCTCGGTTGACGGAACTGAGTGTAGCTTTCAGGTCGAGAAATATAACGACTATTGGACGTCGACGGTAAGTATGCCTATGTTCCAGAATCTATCGAAGGGTAAATATATGATTAACACACCCTCTTCCTGGTCTAAAGCCTGCCTGGTTCTCTCATGTTTGTTCCTACCGAGCACAGCTTAGTCTACGCATTTTAGTTGAGCCTAGAACTTCAGATACCATATTAGTCAAGCTAATACCTCTGTGATTATCACATGGAGACTTGTCTCCCTTCTTGTATATCGGAATAATCTAATTACTTACACCAACCCGACGGGACTTCCTCTGATTCCTAGACGCTACCCAATAACTTAGTCAGCGCAGACAATCAACTGTCTCCACCGTCCTTAAACACCTATGGAGTCATTCCATCAGCTCTGTCTCGTTTCAGACTAGTGACAGCTTTTGTAACCCCAGTTAGGGACGGAGCAACTGTGTTTATATCCCATTCAGGGAGGTGTTGGATGCTGAATAAGTTGAGTGTAGGCCAATTAAACTGCTCCTCAAAGTGTTTTTTCCAACGTTCCAGTCGTCTATCCTGAGAGCTAACCAGGGCACCACTTTTCTCAGAGATTGTTTCACTTATCATTTGCCTTTTCTCACCTGTTTCCCTGATAAGTCTAAATAGTTATCTGGTGTTACTTATCACCGATGCCTTTCCCATCTCTTTCGCTTTTGTTGCCCACCATTATTCATGGTCGTTTTGAAGACTTCTTGTTAGTTTGCTTCTGAGTAGCTTTCGCTCCTCATCATAATCAGAGGTCGCCGGAATCAGTCTACTTGCGTCAATCAGTTCGGATGAGGTGGCAGAGATCCAATGGCTGTTAGTAACTTTAGGTTTCAGGTTATTAACATCTTTTAGAGCTATTTCTACAGCTAACTTTATGTTGTGCCAGGCCACCTCAGATACACGTTTCGCTATTTCTTCCTTAAATAGGGACTCAGAGTCTCGATCTAGTTGGGGACGTAACTGCTTCGCTGCCAACAGCTTTTTATGTCCGTCTAATAGTAGGCATAAATGTGCGCGAACCAGGGTGTGATCGGAGTCTACGCACGTGTTCCAGAAGGAGTGGCAGTCTTCTACTAACCCTCGCCAACGATACCCTACCGCTATGTGGTCTATCTGAGTCCAATGTTGATTTGGTGGTGGAGGTCGCCAGGTTAGGCAATGTCTCTCATTGTGCCTAAAATTAGTGCCGACGAGGAACAGATGATTATTTGAACAAAACTGTAGAAGACGATCACCGTTGCCGGTTCGTCAGCAGAGACTCCGTACGTATCGCCTATATCCGTCTCAATCTGGTATAACTTCCCTACTTTGGCATTGAAAGCACCTTTTAAAACAACTATATCTGAGGGTTTTGTTTTTTTCAGCAAACTCGACAATTTCCGGTAGAAATCATCCTTTAGTTCATCCGAACTGCAGTCTGTTGGGGAGTAAGTGGAGACTATGAAAAGACAGCGACGAGTAACGCCTTCCTCCATTTTTCTAATGGGTCCATTAAGACGGACCGGTCACATAGGACTATCTACTGGGATCCATTTAAGAAGTGATTTTTCTGCCCTAACACTCAGTGCTATCCCTGCACTGAGAGTCCTCGCTAACCAGCTGAGGGGTCTCCTAACACCCTTGAAGTGAATTTCGCAGATTCACCTTGTTGGCCGGATGAGGTTAAGTGAATGACAATACTCGGGTCTTGCATGCGTGCCTCCGAAACACAACATACATCCATGGCTCGAGATGCCAGAGTTCTAGCTAGTGATGCCTGTTGTCTGATTTGAAAGAGGGTCCTGACATTAAATGCTTCTATATGAAGTTGGCGGCATGGCTTTAAGAGGCTATCGGGAGTGTTTCTGTGGTTCTCATCATTATTTGTGGTCATAGAACGAAATGAAGATGACTTGCTAGCCTGCAGAATAGTATTAACAGTAGGAGGAATACAAGATGAGGGTGACAGGGATAAAGGAGAAGGATAATAAGGAGGGCCTCGTATGATTTCGGAAGTGTATGGGCGGTTGTTACTTCGCGGTCACCCACACCATGGAAGTTGATTGATTCTCCGGGTACCTGGAAGAGAAAGAGGGTTAGTGTTGCGTGACCGCAGAGCCCAGGAGACAACCGCCTGAGGCCGTTCACACACGGCCTGTCTGAACTGGTTTCTTGGATTGGTTCCGTATTAGTAACTTACCGCTGGTTACGGATCACCGTAGGGTAAGTCGGGATGTACAGTTTTCGGGGTCGACCTTTTCTAACCCCCTTTCTCTAGAGTGGAGAGACAGCATAGCTGGCATGCTGGTCATCTGAGGGAAACATCTTACTGCTGTTACATCTCTATTCCCCAGCAGTACGACTTTGCCCACAGAACCCCAGCATAGTGTAAAAGCAAAATCTTACACTATGTCGGTAACTGTTATTGGTCTAATCACCATCCTAAAAATCTTCCTGACATGGTAGAACCTGCGGGAACATTAGTTCCAGTCAGTGTAGATTGTTGCGTCATTGCGATATGCAATCCAGACCACCACGTCAAGGTAGTAGCTATCGATCGTGTAGTTGGTTATCAAAAAATAAACTTGAGACTAGAATTGGGCAATCAAGTTTATCTCTCTCTCTAAAGTATCAGATGCTTTTTAGGTGAATTTCTTTACTAACTGTTACCACCTAAAGA